CTCTCTCTCTCTCTCTCTCTCTCTCTCTCTCTCTCTCACTCTCTCTCTCTCCCTCTGTCTCCCTCTCCCCCTTTCTCTCTTTCTCTTCCTCTCTTTCTCTCTCTAGTTGATTGTTTTTGATCTACGACTACCAATAACCTCTACCTTTCAACATTAATTCCCTCATATACACAGACACAAGCAAGAATACGCACAAATACTTATTTGTAGACTCTTGTTCAATTTGCACATTTGCCTCAGAACTCTTTTCAACCAAAGTATACATCTGGCGCTCATATGACCTTATGCAGTTGCGAGCACCGTAAATCTCTACTAAAACTTTTAAAAAGTATAACTCTGTTTCCTTTTTTCTCTTTGATTGCTTATCTCCGTTATCTCCCCTTGTTTAACTTCTCAACAGAATTCAATTTTAAAAAATTGTTTCCGTCTGACCTCCCCAACTTCTCAACAGAGTTCAATCTTTTAACATCTAAACTCCTCTCGTTCACCTTCTCAACAGTATTACGAAGTATTCGGTTACCACCTGATCTCCCCTCGTTCAACTTACCAACTGAATTCTATGGCCTATTAACATCAGATACATCTGCTGTTCCCATGTATAACGCATTCATTTCTTATTTCATCTCAACAGTGACATATTCGGCTGTCAGTTCCCGTGGGTTCCACCAATCGACGACATGAGTGCCTTTCTTAAAGTGTACAACGAAGAGTTTTGGTTGGCTCTCGGCTTCGTAGTTATAGCGTCCTATCTACTGATTGGCCGACACATCTGGCGCTTTCAGATGCGGAGAATGGCGCGGACACACAGGTATGCAATAGTAATAATGCCATAAAATAGTAACTTGCCAGATAGTATGCTTTCGAGACCGTGCTGTACTAACATGTCTAGTTCCTCTGTGAATCCAACCTTGTCTTTAACAATACCCATCTTGAAAAGAAAATCTTTCCCTTGATTTTGCACTTCACCTACTCCTGAACGATGATAAAGAAAATAATATTAGCAAAAATAATACATGCAGTATTTATAATACAATAATAATAATAATAATAATAATAATAATAATAATAATAATAATAA